TAACCTACAACCCCCAAATCCCCCCCCCCCACCCTTGGGGGTGGGGAAATTCTGGGAGTTGAAGTCCATGCATCTTAAAGTTCCCAAGGTTGAGAAACACTGATCTATGGGTACATGGAACAGCTATTCTGCCTCAGGCTAAGCCATCTAACCCAGCACCCTGTTTCCAACACTGTTCCCCCCACAAGACCTGCAAGGAGCCCTTAAGTAGAGCTCTTACAGCATTCTACCTGCAGAGATCAAGTGGTATAGCCTGCCCCAAATATCACCATTCGAAAGCTGGGGATGGCTAAGTGGATTTCCTGAGTCCTCTTCTGCATCAAATGTTTGTTGCACACATCAGATTAAATTGCCGATGCTAGATAAGCATTCCATAAGCAGATTTAAAAAACAGCAACAGGAAGCAAATGTGCCCACTTATACCTGCTGCTTGAAGTTGTCCAATCTGGAAAGGGCCATATTCCATGATACATCTAAAAATGTTTGCGGGTCCAGGTAGGGTAGTGGGGAAGGTGCTGGACTAGGAGCAGGGAGGCCTTAGCCTAATCATCCCTTAGCCATGGTTGTTCCCTGGGGGACTCCAGGCCAGTCCCTCTCTCTCAGCCCAACAACCAGTGTAGGGTGGTAGGGAAGGTTCTGGGCTAAGAGAACAGAGACCCAGGTTCTAATCACCCTTCAACCATGGACGGTCCTTGGAACCCTCTCTCCATCCAACCTACCTCAAAAGATTATGGTTGTATGGAAAAATAGGAGGAAGAGCACAACGTATGATGCCTCAAGGTCCTGAATGAAAGGCAGGATACAAATATAACACATCAATAAGTAAACTCTGAACTTGGGACAGGAAGAGCTACCTCCACATCCTTGGTGCTACTGGCCAACGCTTCCTGGAGGGCTTTGATTAAGGCTTCCTTCTCCTTCAAAGTGAAAAGCAAGGTTTGGCCCTGCAGTCGCCAGAATTCCTGAGCTGAGGCACAGAGAGACTCCAGACGCTGGATTTCCCGATCCTTCTGGTGTAAAAGCTCCCGCAGAGCCTGGGACATTGGGGGAAAGGAAGGAGAAGGACCACAGAAGGTAAATAAGAAGAGCCTCCAGACAAACCAACTGCAGTAGATTGTCATCTAACATAAGCCTCATCTCCTGGCAATATCTAGTAGAGATTTTGCACCCAGGTTTGTTCCTCTGACCTTAGAAAAAATTTACATTACTTGTACAGCAAGAATGGATTTTTAAAAAGAAAAAGAAAAGAAAATAGAACAACATATGATATATCTGGCATGAGGCAACAGGTCAATGCTTCTCTGTAGTCCTAAAGGCAAGAAACTTGGAAAGAAGAAACACAATATTGTTAAACACTATTAGAAGTTAAAATCTCACACACTCAGAAACATGAGAAAAACTACTACAAAAGAAGCCAGAGATACAGTGTCTTTTTCCATCATGTTACACCAAGTCAAACAATCTTCCACCATATTGTCTGTATTACTGGATCCCTTCCCATTTGACCCCAGCACTCATCTGTCCGTTCATACATGCATGGTCTCCTCTTCTGTGCGGAGGCTGGTGTTGAGTCTTGCCATGTCAGCATCTTTATCTTTCAGTGCTTCCTGAAGATGCCTCAGCTGACGGTGCACAGACTTCAGGGCCGAGAAATGGCTGGATAGAGTCTTCTGTAGAGGTCAAAGCAGTTGAGAAAAAGTGAATTAGGAATTATCTTACACCTTGAGGTGGGAAGTAGGATCTATTACCCCAAAGATCCTCAAATATTTCTGATTTCCAATGGTTCAATGACTGTAGAAATACTGTAACAAAATATTCCTCAGTAACACTAAAAAAGAAGACCTAGCTACAATAATTTCAATGTAGGCTTATGCATGCAAGTCATCTCAGTGTTCAGGGAGCAGAAGGGAAACAGATTCCGTGTTTGAGCAACCATTTTATATCTTGTTATGCCAGGGATCAAGGACTTCTGGTTCAGAGATTAAGTTGGCCTACAATCATAGTGTATCTTGTCTGCATAAATTCAAACAAGGGCTCTCCTTCTGTCACTGCAAGCAAGAGTGATGCTGGGGATATTCCAGCTAGACTGCCTCAAATGTAGCTGTCCAGCCACTCTACCCATTCTTTCTTCTGAGCCAGCTTCTCACCCATCGTTCTGCATCCAAGACTACTTGGAAGATATTAAACTTACCATGTTTTTTAAGTATCTCAAGAACCAGCCAGTATTCCCTACATTCAACAACATCTCTGTCACTCATGGCCCTGCTGTCCAATATTGACCTTTTGAACTGGAGAAGATGAAGACCTTCTGCGTGTGACTTGGGATTTCAACATCAGAAGCTTGTGCTTTGCTACCAAGCTACTAATCCAGCCTTCCAGATGTTGCTCATCTACAATTCCCAGAATCTTTCATCTTTGGCCTTGCTGGCTCAGCTGTTGGGAATTGTAGTTCAACTACATATGGAGAACCACAGGTTGCCCATCCTTGTCCAACAGGGAACTTTGGCTCCTCACTTCTGAATCTGAACAACCGAGGATCCCTGGTTGCTCCCAAAGGGGATAACGCATGGCTTTTTCCTCTGTGCAATTTACCTCTAATGCTCGGTCTCTATCTTTCAGACGCTGGGCCATTTGCTTGATCAGGGTTTCCAACATGGGGGGGTTCACCCCAGGTGATCCAAGTGACAGCAAGATGACCAGGCACTCCTGGAAAATAAAAATAGGGCAAAAGGGTTAGAGTTTCTCTCTGAAGGGACTAAATTCTTCCTTTTTCATTATTATTTGGGATATTTGCATCTCAAATAACTTTTTAGTCAATAATCTACTGTGTTACCTGCTGATTCTACATTTTCTCTAGGAAACTCAAACAATACAGGTAGGTCTTGATTAGTGTGGTTAATGAATCTGATGAAATGGTTGCATTATTCAAATTTGCACTATTCAAAGTGATATTTCTATGGAAAATATGGTAATTGGTTCCAGCTCAATGGGAACAGGCAATGAACAATTTTTATAAATTATTTTTTTTTTATAAATTTTATACATTTTATGTATATTAATGAAATATTACAGTAAAGGATAAAAAGAATATACTTATAATTTAAATGTATGGGTGCCAAAGTCACAGAGCAGCTATAGAAAGCAAAATAAAAATAAAAAAATTCTAAATATCATTCCTAAAGCTAAGCTTGCACTGACAAAAACATCTTTACTGTTTCTCAATATATTTTAGCAGCATAGACTGAACTGTTTTCTCTTTTTTTAAATCTTCATGCATATGTTGGTAGACACAGAGCGCTTTACGCACATCTCGGCGAATCTGCACGCTTCAACTGAGGTTAGGGTCAGCATACATAATTTTTTGCTTCACAAATTGTACAGCTCAAAAGATCTCTTCAAATTCCTTGAGAGTAAACTCCTTCACTTGCAAATTACTCCTTTTCTCCATTTTGCAGACACAAGGATTAGCAGTTTCCAAAAACCCCACCACACATGCGCAAGTCTCAACTGCACACGTGCTCGCCTTGCATTAACTGAATTTGGAGTTGCATTAAACGTGACCTGGTATCAACTGACAATTCACGCTAAATTGAATATGGCATTATTCAAACTCACACTAATCATGATCTACCTGCACATCCTTTTACACATTTCCACGGTAACCTTATAACAAGCCTGAGAGGTAGGATTAATGAAGAACAGATTGCCGATCAAGAGCCAAGCAAAGATTTGGACCGACGCTGCTGGTTCTTCAGGAGATTAAAAATGGAGCAGCTGGAACTGTTCCAAATGTGTTATTTTCCAGGCAGAAATAGGAAAAGAGCCGCTGTTGGCCTTTTTACCTGAGCCAGTGGGAATTTGGCTAAAAACTGCCCTCTCACTTTAGCTCGTTCATCTTCCCTTATGATCTCCGTCACCCACTTCAAGGAAACGAGACACATGAGCTGGTCGCTTGGTCTCCTGGAAGGCCAGGGGTGTCTTTCTCTTGCTCAGCTCACCTGTAGGACCTCCTCCTTGCTTTGCAGACACCTGGTCAGTTGATGGATCAGCTGCTCCTGGTGATTCACGGCCTTCTCAAGTGGAATTCCAGCTTCCTATGCCAGGGAGGGATGGGGGGGTGGGCAATAAAGTAAGAGGAAAATATGTCAGCCTTGTGAGGTGATCTAGACAAGAGGCACGCCCAGAAGTACTAGTTCTATCTTTATTGTAAGTTTACAGTAACAGCATCTTGTGAGTCTAAATTACATCTCTTCCTCTTCACCTTTACAGTCCCTTCTGAGATGTTTGCCACACCCACATTCCTGCTGTGGGCTCAGCTGCCTCTTATCTGACATTGTCCAGTCTGCAGTTGTTCCTCCTATCTCCCAAGGTCACTCCCACAGACCATTACAAAAGATCAGCCCCACTAGGTAGACCAGACCAGAAATTCAACTCCACAGGAAGACTAGAACTGTATTTCCTATAACAGAATCTTGCAAGCCTGATTGTGCTGTATCTCCCTGCTTTCTTATACCCCGTTGAATCAGAGGTGTTTCCCTGAGTCGCTTCCGAAAACTATCTTGCTTCCTAGGACTTAAAGAAAATTTCACCCCTCTTTGCTTATGTAACTGTTCTTGCTTCTTTCTGTCAAGGTCACCTCCTTGACGCTGCATTGAAGAAATAAAAAACTTTGCTTCTATCAGTCTGGATTCAGGCACAGAGTTAAAACAGGATAGCAGAGAAGGAACCGTTGGATACGGGATGAAAAAATGTTGCATGTTTTTTAAAAAAAATGCATTTTAAGCCTTTTTATTGTGAGATAGAACAAGCAACTTTAACAAAAATAAAATTTATGCTAGTGGTTATACAGTATAGAAAAACCTCTGTGGGAAAAAAAAAAAGAATCAGAAAAAAGGGATCAAAGAAATATAAAATATAAATGAATAAGTAGGAGATTTACAAACATTACAGAGGTTTTGAAGTTTGAGCAGCTGTAGAAAGAAACAACATCTAAGGAGCCTGCCAGACTTTAATGCAACACCTTGGACAGTGTTTCTCAACTTTGGCAACTTTAAAATGTGTGGATTTCAACTCCCAGAATTCCCCCGCCCGGCATGCCGGGCGGGGG